GTCTCCTTTGACTCATGAGAAGTATGAGCCTCTCCAACAATTTTGTAGGACCTTTTTTTAAAAGGGACTCTGTTGTTTTCCTTTAGAAATGGAAACTTTTAATATTTATAGGTCCTGATCAACCTGTCTACTTAGTTTGGTAAACATCAGAAGAGGCACATTTACTCAATAAATTAGTATATGCCTATCAGTCTCAGGGGCTCAGTGATATTGCTATAACCTAGGTGAATTAACCATAAGGTGAATAGCAGATATCAGAATAAGGGGAGCTGTCTAGATGGAAGGTATGGATAAAAGACAAGATAATTTGGGCTGTTCTCCCCCAAGTCACAATGAGTTTTATCAGTCAACAGGTTGACAGTCTTTTAGTTCCTATCTCTATGTAGTATGGGGGCCATGGGTCTAACCAAAATCAGCAATCCTGGCCAATTTATGTCTGGGAATCATTAACTAAGTGCTGGACTTTGTCAAGAGTGAAGCTAAGGATGAGGACCCCTCAGCTTCCTGGACACCACAAGGTGGGACTCTGGCCCTGGGTGTGCTTAGGAGCCAAGGTCTAGGGACCTGGCTAGGGAACAATTTCTAGTAAACCTATCCCTAAGGTCCCCTGATTCTCCAGGATTTCCCTGTTTCTCAAAAGCCAGGAAAAAGATTCTAGGAGTTTTCTAGGAAGCCTCTATTTCACAACTCCCAGTTATTGTGATAGAAACTCCCTTGTTCCTGGTAACTATGGGGGCCAGCCATGGGGCAAGCACATAATTATAAAGTCTGTATTCTTATCTCAAAAGATAAACTCCCATATCTTTCCTTTCTCTAGTACAACCAGACATTTGAAGTAGGCACCAGTGGATAAAGGTCAAGATGAATATTGGTTGCTAATCTATAGTCACACCAGCTAATGCCTTCCCTGTATCAGTCTTGCTTAGTTCCCAGGTCCAGACCTGAGGGTAGTGGGGGTTAGACTTTTACCAAACACAAGTCTCAGGAGGCAGAGGAGCAGGGAATGGTAGGGCCTGGTGCCTGGTGGAATATTAATCATAATGGGTCCATAGTCAGGGAAACAGAACATTTGGCAGCAGTGTCTGTGGCTTACACTTTCTTGGCCTGGGTGTGGTGGATCCATGATGTTCTACCAGCTATCTTCACAGCCATATGAGTGTGGAGAATCCCTGTGGAGAGTCCTTTTCAAGTTGGTTCCAGTGCCCCCTTGGCTACCCACTTGAGCCAGATGGTTATCACTGGACTCAGACAGGGGAAACTGATGGCAGAACTGGAGGTGGACTGAGTCTCTTGGCTAATCCATTGAACTGGAGTGCCTGTGGTGACTTAAAAGGAATGTTTAGAGAGTTCTTCCAACTGCTGGTCTGAACCTGGGAAGCAGTGGGGTAGGTCTTCCAACATAATCATATAGAGAGTAAGTCCCTCCCTATATGGGGTGTGGTGGGCCCAAAGCACAACACAGGAAGGAGGTCTATTCACCCTTCACTGGACTCCAATGAGAGTGTTGTTTGAGATTTTTTTTAAATGTCCTATTTTTGGTGGTGGTGTTTTGGTTATTTTTTTTTAACCTGCCCAGAATTCTAAGGTCTATATGCACAATGAACTTTTCAACCTATGTGTAATGCTTTAGCTATTAATTGAGAGGTTTGGGCTATGAAAGGCAGGATATTGTTCCCATTGCTGGGGGAGTCCTGGAGGAGCTCCCCGCTCTCTTTCTTTTTTTGGTTTTTCAAGACAAAGTTTCTCTGTGCAACTTCCCTGGCTGTCCTGGAACTCACTTTGTAGACCAGGCTGGGCTCCAATTATCAGAGATCTGCCTGCCTCTACCTCCCCAGCTACTACTTGAGCAGTTTCAATCTAAGTGGGAAAAGCATTTGTGAAAACTATAAAGTACCTTTACCTTCCCCTTCCAGGCCATATTTCAACGAAGTCAGTTTTCCCAAAGCTCAGTGCAGTGCTGGTCTCTCATTTGAACTCTTCCTGGGTAAGGGTTCTCTGCTTTGGATTCACTTGAGCACAAACCTGGCATCTGGCTGAGACATTGCCCACTAGTCTAAGTATAACATACCTTGGTTTGAGCCACTCAGGTTTTGTGAACCCTAGATGAGTAGTGTGGTGAAGGTCAGTTACCAAAGTCCTGTCATGTGTTTCTGGGAGAATGATCTTTTCCTCTGGTGTCCTCCATCAACCTGTGGGTTTGAGCTGTCCATTCCTTCCTTTGGTTGACCCATAGAGTCTCAGCCTGCACCAGGCTGTGGTTATGTCATGAGAATATCAGTTGGCCCCCACTGGTCTTAGGACCTTTTGTCAGGCAGCCATGCAGTGGCCCTGTTACCACTTGCCTCAGGGAAGTCATCTTTTTGTTGTTCATGGAGTGGGGCAGCAGAGCATAGCTAGCAATTTTTTTTGTGGGGGAAGCCAAATAGCCTCTAGGAGGGCCAGTACTTTCTCTTTGTTTTTAATGTCCTTTCCCCTGGCGATGTGAAGCCCTCTTTCTCTATTGATCATACTGTGGATATGCACAATAGTAAAAAGCATGGTGACTGTCCATGTGTATGGTGGTGGACTCTCCTTTTTCCCTCCTGAGAACCTAGGTCAGATCAATCGGTTCTGAGCTCTACACTGAGGTTCCTAGCTTGGGCCCAAATTGTTTCAGTTAAAGTAACTACTGTAGCTTCCATGTACTTGGCTTCATCTTTCATTTCATTATAGTCATGGATGAGCACTCGCAGGTCATCATCAGGCAAAAGGATAGCAGGATCGATTGTGGTAACTTTTCAAACTGGACTTAAAGGTGATCCAAGAGCAGGGCCCTGTACTGGGTCACACAGGCATTACACAGCCAGTGTTCTGGTGTTCCTCAGAGGACTGCCTCAATGGCATGGGGTCTGTGAGTATATTTGACCCAGAGTTAACTTGTTTTTTTCATTAGCTCTTAGATATGTGGGCCATCCCACATATCTGGCTACAGGGTCCAGATATGTCACAGAATGTTTCCACAGCCCCAAAGGGTGTGTTTAAACCCCTTTTACAATGTCTTCTCTTTCATGGGAAAACAGATGAAAAGGTTCTAAGGCTTCTGGAAGTCCTAGGACTGAAGCTGAAGGCCGGGCAGCTTTTAAAGCCTCAGATGCCTTTTGCTTAGACTCAGTCCAGGGCAGGGGTTCAGCGCCCCACTTTGTGCTGGTGTAGAGGCCTTACTATTCTACAAAGTCTGGTATCCAGACACAATACCTAGCAGCACTTGGGACTTCTTAAACCTGCCTCTTAAGTCTTTGGAGTTGGGATCTGAAAGATGGCAGCAGACCGACTCTGAGAGGGACCCCTTTTGCCTCCTCTACACTGGCAGCCAAGATAGGCAGCCTCTGATGTACAAAGTTGGGCTTTCTTAGCTGACATTTTGTAGGCAGGGTCTGTAACTCTTGCAGAAGTCCCTCAGTGACCTTTTATATTGTTTCCCCAGGAAATCTCTGGTTGAAGGGCAGAAAGTCAGTGCCTTACAAAACAGGATCAGGGAAGTTTTAAATCTTTGGGGCAACCTGGTCCGTGTAAATTGCCCACTGTAACCTCTCTCTGAGTCTGTCCTTTTAAAACCTCTGCCAATGGGAGGCTGAAGAATGCATCTTTCAGATCCAAAACAGTGCATACCTCTTTCTCTGAAAGAATCAGACTCCTAAGAATTAGAGGTCCCAGGTTTCTTCACAGGCAGGAGAGGTATATAGGAATACCAGAGTAGCTGGCAGGGCACCAGGATGCCTGCCTCTCTAAGTCGGGCAATATTGACTGTGATTTTCCTTTTGTTTACTCTGGGTGAGGGTATCTGAACTGGTTAGTTGAACAATTAGAAGAACTTGGTGTTTGGCTAGTCCTAGGGGTTTGTCTCTGCCCAGAGTGCTGAGAATCTTTGTTGTCAATCTGAGAGTTCCACTGTATCTTTTGATTGTAGGTAGGACTGGACTTTCAGATGAGATATTCTTTGAACAGAGGGCAAGACACCAAAATGTTGCTGCATGTCACCATCAGAGAAGGTGGTGATGTTATGCAAAAGCTGTTGTCCTAATCAGCTCTCTAGTGTTAAATGACTTTTGAGCTACCTCCAGCAACTGGAACCTACTTACACCTTTAACTTTTTTTAACTTTATAACTGTTTTTTCTAATACCTGGGGCCTACTGGGTGACAAAAAAAAAAAAACAACTTTTTTTTTTTTTTTTGCAGCTGTATTTAATCTTCCAAAAAGGACTAGTGAAAATTGTTTAAAGTCTCCTTGGTTAGTGTTGGACAGAAAGGAAAATATGTTCTGTCCAGCAGTGATTTCCCCATCACCAAAAGCAAAAGCAGAATTATCTAAAAGGTTAGTACATTTAGAGACTTCCCCAGAACTATGGACTTTGATGGATTAGACCTTTGTTTTCATTTTGGCAGATGATACTGTCTATGTATCAAGTTTTATAGCCTGAATGGTACTTCCATCATGGAGTAAGCTGTGCTGAGGTCTTGGGTCCCGTTACAGTATGCAATTAGCATCAACCAAGCTGGGATGGACAAGTGGTCCTGTATGTGAGCAAGCACTTCTCACATCCTGACAATAAAAACAGTAGCTACTTCATATTTCTTTGATATTTCCAGTAGGAGTATAGATGAAGAAGCTGTTAATTATACCTTCAAATCTCTAAAATGGATGAATAAATTCTGCTCAGATGAAGTAAACATGAAACTTAAGATATATCTGAAAGAAAATCCTTTACTACTTTGGGAGCACATTCCCCATGGAGGAATACTCCCTTAGCCTAGAGGCAGGAGGGAGGGCCTCGTCCCTACTCCAAATGACTTGACAGATATTGATGATCCCTCCTGGAAGGCATCACCCTCCCTGTGGAGTGGGGGGGGGCAGGTGGGATGGGAGGGGGAACAGGGAAATGGGAGGGAGGGAGAGGGAACTGGGATCGATATGTAAGAAAAAATTATGTATGTATGTATGTATGTATATATAATCCTTTACTCGAAGAAATAAGATTTTTAACTAAAAACTGACATCCAAAATCACTAGAGACAAAATTCTCAACAAAAGACATGGCTAAACCTAAGAAAAAGTTTATGATGTGCTGTCTCCTTCACAAGATCACCAGCAAAGGTCTGCCTACATGCTTGAAATTTCACTAGTACGAAATTACTTATTCAGGAGGTCTTTGTTTCAACAAACACTTATTAAAACTCAGGTAAGAACAGAAAGTATAATGTCACTGTATGTGGCTAGGGCTGCTCCCAAAGTCAGCAATCAGTAAAAATGTAACACAGGTAAGTTGTCATGTTTTAATTGTCAGACATCAGAGGCACTGATGCTCAGTGTGGGGACAAGTCCTCTTCTTCAGCTCTCCAGGTTCTCCTAGGAAGAACAGTGAGAATCTTAGTCAAAAAAAAAAAAAAAAAAAAAAAAAAAAAAATGGTCCTCAGAGCTGTCTAAGAATCCAAGGAAGTATCTGTAGATCCTGCCAGGGACAACCACATCTTTTACTACAACTTCTACTGATGCCAGAAATGGAAAGAAGTACTGGAAATTAGTGGAAACTCTATGGATTATTAAGATAAAGGCTTAGTGTTTGTTTTCTAATGAGAGGGAACAAGAAAGGATATGGATTTGACTGGGTGGATGAGGAGGTGCAGACATCTAAGAGGAGTTGGGAGAGGAGAAACCAGAATCAGAATATACTATATGAAAAAAATCTATTTTCAATTAAAATTAATTTAAAAAAATACCTATTTTTTTAAGTAGAGGTGCCCAGTGGTAATGGTGAATGCCTTTAATTCCAGCACTTGGAGGAGGGGGCAGAGGCAAGTGGATCTCTGAGTTCAAGGCCAGCCTGGTCTACAAAGAAATTTCCAGGACAGCTAGGGCTACACGAAAAACCCTGTCTGGAAACAGACAGACAGACAGCCAGACAGGATGTTCCCTATAGTCAACTGTAGATAAGACAAACTGCTGTTTTTCTTTGAAAAACAATTTTTTTTTCATACAATGCATTTTGATCATGTTTTCCCCTTCCCCAATTCATCCCAGGTGCTCCCCAAATCCCACCCACCCAACTTTATGTTCTTTCTCTCTCTCTCTCTCTTTAAAACAAAACAAAACAAACAAAAAACAAGAAACATAGACACAAACACAAACACAAAGTAGAAACCAAAATATACAAGACTGACAAGAAATAAATTCCCAAGCAAAGCAAAATGAGACAAAGTCTACACAAATACCATTGAGTTTATTTTTTATTGGACAGCTACTCCTGGGCATGGGGCCTACCAGGAGGTATGGTTAATAGACCCAGTGAGACTCCATCAGAAAAACAAAATAAAACAAAAAACCCTAAATTTTACTTTGCCAGCGGGTATCAATTATGATTGGCTTCTTGGTTAAGGGTGGGAACACGTGTTCATTCCCTGTCTCAGGGCTGGGATTACATTTTGCTTGAAGTTATGCAGGCTGCCTTGGTCTCTGTGAGGTCATATGTGCATTAGCCCCATTGTGTCTGAAAGACACTGTTTCACAAACTTGTTTTTCCTAGGTAATATTAAAGATTACTCTGCAGGCTGGGAAAATGTCTCAGTAGGTAAAGTGCTTGCCATGAGCACAATCATGAGGATCTGATACAAATCCCCAGAGCACATGTGGTAGTATGCACCTGTAATCCCAGTGCTCCTACAGTGAGGTGAGAGGCGGGGCAGAATTCCAGACACTCATGGACCAGCTAGCCTGGCATATGCAATGGAACTAAAAGAGACCATGTATTAAATAAACAGTCAAAGGCAAGGACTGACATCCAAGGTTGTTCTCTGGTCTCTACATATGAATTGTAGCATGCACGTGCCTGAACTCATGAGCATACATATACATATCACAGATATACAACACACACACACACAAAGATTATTTTAAATTTCCTCAACACATATTAAAGATGTTCAGGAACAAAGACTCAGAAATGTACCAGGAAGCAGAGTAAAGCCAGGCTGAGATGAAAACTCCATCATCAATAAATATACTTTAGAGCTGATTATATATGGTAGAGATTAGCTTTACAGCCAGTGGTCAACATTTCAGGCAGTGTTGTCCAAACCTCACAGGCTGAGCTTTTATTTACCTTTTCTACGAGAACTTACAGAAAGGTTAATAATTAAGAGTCCCAGTTATTAAAACCAAAACAGCACAAATGCCTAGCAAAGTGTGGGTGGGGCTTAACAAAAACTTACCCATCCTCCCTGGTCCTGGATAAATTCTCGGATGGCTGTATTCCCATTGATCATGCCTGTCATGCAGCTAGCCACCTGTCTTGCCGTTTCAGGAGCCTTACGGACCACATATTCAAGAAGTTTCACTGACACTGCCAGAAAGGCTCTTTCAAAAGCTAGGGTGGGGTCTTGAGTACACCAGGCCATGCTGAGAGACTGGACTACATCCCTGAGAACAGTTCCTGCCTGTGGAGGGAGACAGGCTCTGTCAGTGTGGCTCAAACAGGCTTGGAGTCTGCAAGTCTAAGAAGTACTCTTCAGGAAGTGGCCAAGGTTCCACTGGTAGCCCAGGGGAATATTAGAGGGCAGATGAACAAATTTCTTAGTTTTAGCATTTTGATACTTTAATATTAGAAAAACATTAAATACCCCCATCAAGCTCATGATTTTAGATATCATTGGGTAGGATGAACAAAATACTGTGAAAGAAAACTAATAAGCACATCATAGTGAGCAGGTCAAACTGTAAGGGCATTATTTCTATGATTAGGAAATGTTTATCAAGGTCTAAAGTTAAAACAAACAACAAAAACCTCTTCCTCCCCAAAAAAATTAGCACAAAGACTATTGGGTGGAGTCAAGGTAGATCTTTGAGGTATAAAGGGGGCAGCACTTGTCAGATCAGAATGTTAAATCTTAAAAAAGCTAAGACTAGAAATAGCTTCAGAAGGTACCTATATCTGAGGATTTTTGTTTGTTCTTTTTACATTTATGTATTTACTTATTTCGTGTGTGTGTGTGTGTGTGTGTGTGTGTGTGTGTGTGTGTGTGTGTGTGTACACAGGCCACAGTGTAAATGTGTTAGTTAGAGGACAACTTGCAGGTGAACTTCTTTCCTTCCACACAGGCATCCCGGGGACCAAACTCGAGCTCTCAGAGCTGCCAGTAATTTTACCCAGTCATCTCTCATTGACCCTATATCTTAGTTTCTAAGTATCATTTTTCACTGAAAGAAACCAGAGTTGCCTGGTTCAGAATGTCTAATATAAGACCTTCTGCTAGAAATTAAGCAAATTTGAAACATGACAAAGAGACAAGTCATGTGGTTCTCTCAACAAGACAGGACAAACTCAACTTTATTCAGGGATATTCAATAACATTTCCGATCATCTTGAATTGTCAAGGTCATAAAAATATATGAAAAGACCGAAGGATCAATACATACCAGGAGACTAGGACCCATAACTAAATGCTGCATATGAATCTGGCTTGGATATTTTGCTATAAATTATATTGTTGGGACAAGTGGCAAAAATTGAGTGGACTATCCAGGTCACAGTTGTGCCTTTAATTCCAGCACTGGGAGGCAGAGGCAGCTAGATCTCTGTGAGTTAGAGGTCAACCTGGTCTGCAGAGCTAGTTCTAGGACAGCCACATCTACACAAAGAAACCATGTCTCAAAAAACAAATCAAAACAAAAGAACAAATCAGTAGACTCTTAGGATTCAATGCTATTATATATCACTATCAGTTTCCTGGGTTTGAAGTTACATTGTGGTACTATAAAAGAAGGTTCTTACTTGAAGGGAGTATAAAAGTATTAAAGAGTGAGGCTCTATCCTATTAATTACTCTCAAATGACTGGAGAAACTCTCCATACCAGCAGTTCTCAACCTTTGATTTGCCACCCCTTTTTGTGGGTGTGTTAAATGATCCTTTCACAGGGGTCGCCTGAGACCATTAGAAAACACAGATATTTACATTACAATTTATAACAGTAGCAAAATTACAGCTATGGAGTAGCAATGAAAATAATTTTATGGTTGAGAGTCACCACATTAGGAACTGTTATTAAAGAGTTGCAGAAGCTTGGACATTGGTGGTGCTCGCCTTTAGTCTCAGCACTCGGGAGGCAGAGGCAGGAGGATCTTTGTGAGTTCAAGGCCAGCCTGGTCTACAGAGCTAGTTCCAGGACAGGTTCCAAAGCAATACAGAGAATCCCTGTCTCGAGAACCACTGCTTTTTACCATGCTTCCAACTTGAGTTTGAGTTTGAAACTGTTTCAAATGTCTTTTTTCCTCCTTATTTTTGTTATTATTGTTGTTGTTTTGTTATTGTTCTAAGTATAGAAATAAAAGTAGACCTAGTTAGTAGCCATATAAGATAGCCTCAAGGCCAGCAGTTGGAAGTAAGATTCTGTCTGAATGTAACCCAGGCACATCCCCTATGCTGTCCATTAGGAAGAATAAAGTGTGCCTCTGAAATCACCTAGGTTCAAATTCTAGCTTTAACATTTACAGAGTAAGTTTCTTACTTGTTTCCTTATACCTCCGTTCTTTGTATATTTAAATGGTAGCAAGTCAGGAAGTACTTAATGAATACTATTGTGTATAAGGAACATTTCAAAAGTATATGAATACCGAAAGGAAGAAAACAAGTTCGGTATTTGCTTTCATGGAGCTGTGTGCTGATTGAGAAAGATCGCTCTAAGAATAACAGCTGTATAATAATCCACACATGAATGCAATGATTAAACAATGAGATGTGGTCATGCAAAGTAATATGGACTAGCTGCTGTTGTTGATATAATCAGCAGCATGACTTGGAACATTGTCTTTATAGCTATACAGAGTCCAAGTGCTACCGCCAGTAATCAAGACTTCTGAGGCAAAGCCAGCAGATTTCCTTAAGGGTTTCTCGAATTGCGTCAGACTTCTAAACTACAATATTTCTGAATCTTACTACTGGACTCTGGGATGAGGGGAGAAGCTGACTCCCAGAAGGGTTAAGCAGTTAAGCATTAAACTGATGAATAATGGAGCTGTTGAGATAGGTCAAGAATTAAAGATACTTGCCACACTAATCTGGTGACATGAATACAATCCCTGAAAACTACACAAAGGTGAAAGGGGAGAACACCACAAAACTGTCCTTTGGCCTCCACAGATATGCAGAGGCACATGTGTCCCTCTGCCAACACCACCCATACACATACAAGAAGGAAGAGGAAGAGGAGGAGGAAGAGGAGGAGGAAGAAAAAGAAGAAGAAATATACATATACATAAAGGATTATTTTCCAAGAATAGGAAACTGTGAGTGAGATCTATGCACACTAAGGACAGCCCTGATGATTTGATGAAGCCTATGAGTTCCTTCCTATAGTCCCAGATTGTTATTAATGTCTAAAGAATTAGCAATCACATTTCTTTCTATAGCTTCTTGAGCAAACATAAACCTCCAAATCTTCACTAAACATTTCTATTCCTAGTATACAGAAGTAAACAACAAGGAAGGAAGGAAGGAAGGAAGGAGAAAATTTAAGTTCCAAATAGAACAAACAGCAGACAATATTAAAAATCAAAAATCTGACCTGTCCTTGAATGGTTTCTGCAATGACGTTATTGGCAGAAGCTTCCAGATCTCCATTGAACTGGTCACCCAGCATTCGAAGGCGACCAGCAATAATAGACACATCAAAAGAGCAGGCCTCTCCTAAGACAAAGAAAATACCTTCACCATGCTTGAAGAGATGGGAAGTCTCCTAAATCTTGGCAAAAGGGAAATGTTCTCGTCTTATTTTCTGGTTTGTTGAGACAGGTTTCTCTATGTAACCCTGGATATCCTGGAACTCACTCTGTAAACTAGGCTTGCCTATGCTACATTCTCAAGTTTTTAAAAACAGTTTGGCATCATTTGTTCTCAGTAGTTGCAGCCAGATAATCTTCTTTATTGAGAAGCTCTTTCCTTTCTAATATTGCCAACAATTTAGGACTTCCCTTTGAAAACTTAAGAGGAAACAGAGAAAGTATGTTCTGACTCCATTACCCACCTGTGTTCACCTCAGAGTAGGGGCCTTACCTGAGTATGGTTCATCTGAATCCAGTAGATTCCGGCTAGCAACCTGTAATGTTGGGGTCAAAAGATCTGTGAGTAGAGCATTCATGACACATTCTGTTTGCTCCTCAAAAGTCTGGGGGTTCTTCATTTTAGACATTTTCCACAAACAAGTGGTTTTCCACTCAGCAGAAGGTTAGAAAACCTGGCAAACCAGTTGTGCCTGCCTGCCTCTTATTGCTTCCTAACTGGGTATGTCCTAGAATCATTCCCACTAACTTTTTTTTTTCAAGAGTAACTGCTCAAAAAGGTACAATTCTCTCAGTTCCGTATCTCTGAACCACACCCTTGCCAGTACATAAGATTAATGAATAGCTTTTATAGATAAACAACCTATAACTAAAACAGAATTGAGGAAGATTCTCTTGAGCAAGTTTCTTAAGAAATACTTCCTGGAGCTGACAGCCACCAATGGCCACCTCTTCATCCTTTACATCTGTAGGTTGCCTCCCTACCCCAGGGCCCTTGCCCTCACCCCACTTCTGCAGAAGGTTTCAACATTAAACTTGCACAATGTCTTTAAAACCAAGAGTAGTGGATTTTGATAAAACATGGAACAACTTCCTAACTCCAGTCAAAGCTGTTGCCATGCTGGAATGTGTTGAGAGATCAACATGGAATGGCCATTTCTCAGATATCTATGCTTTACGTGTGGCCTATCCTGAACCACTTGAAGAAAGGCTTTGATGCAGAAACATAGGTTTTTACTTTAAATCATGTTTGGCATTTGCATAAGAGAGCTCTGGAGTCAGCAAAGGGGGTGAAGTGGAGGAAAAACTCACCAATTTCATCACTGTTTTCAAATACATCGATGAAAAAGATATTTTTCAGACGTTCTATGAAAGAATGCTAGCAACATTTCTAATTTATGGGTTGTCTATGTCCATTGATTCTGAAGAAGCCATGTTCCATAAATTAAAGCAAGCCTGTTATGAGTTTATCAGCAAGCTGCATTGGAAACCAAGACACAGGGAAGATTAGGGCATTAGTTTCCAAATATATGTCCTTCAGGCTGGTGCATGGTCTCTCACTCAGGCTCCTTAATCCATATTTGCAATTTGCCAGGAGTTAGAAAAAAGTATTCAGATGTTCGAATTACTTTATAGTTTAGCATTTCAGTGGAAGGAAACTGGCATGGTTACATCATGTCTGTACAGGTGAAGTTAAAATGGACTATTTGGGAAATCTGCCTGTAGCTATGGTTACAGCATATCAATGGCAGTTCTTCTTGCCTTTAAACGCAGTGAAACTGTCAGTTATAACTTCAAGACAGCACCCAGATGAACAAAAAGGAACTGACCACAATGATCAAATCATTACTTAGTGTAAACATGATTAACCATGATTCAGAAAAGGAAAACATTGACACACGACCTTCATTTTCATTAAATATGAGCTTCAGCTATAAGAGAACAAAATTTTAAAATTCCTTCATCAATGAAGAAATATCCATCACAAGAACTGGAACAGCCTAGAAGTGCTGTTCATCATCCGCATCATGAAAGCATGCAAGGTACTTTGGCACAGTGCCCGCAATCCAGAGACAATCAGCCAGTCAAGAGCCATGTTCAGTCCCAGATCATTGTGATTCAGAAGTGCATAGAAGTCCTGCTAGATAAGCAGAACACGGAGCAGTTGAGCATCGGCAGACAGATACTCTCACATCTCGTGACACCCGTCCTGGTGCTGGTGTTAGATTATTGGTATCACCATTTGGTGTGTCCCTGTGGGGAAAAGCGGGCCTGTGCCTCCATACTGTGGTCATTTGGCAGCCCCTGTTTTTCTGGTGTTTACGTTATCACCAATACTACATCATGAGCATCAAAGAGAGTGAATGCCTAGAGCTCTTTCAAGCTCATGTCATTATGACATTTCTTAAAATAGTATTTAAAAACTAGTTAAGTATTGCTGAATTGTGGGGTATGGTTGGGTACTGTTTTCCCCTCTTCCTGTTTGCAGTTGATGTGTTTGTGTTTTTTTAATGTTTTTTTTTTAATTTATTTTTTAAATTCCAATCCCAGTCCCCCCACTTCCTTTCTTCCCACTCCCTCCACTCCCCCCTCCTCCCATCTGCTCCACAGAGAGGGTAAGGCCTCCCATAGGAAGTCTACTAAGTCTGTCCCAACATCTAGTTGAGGCAGGACCAAGGCACCTCTACACTCCCACACCCCTGTGTCTAACGTGAGCATGGTATCTCTCCATATAGAATGGGCTCCACTAAGTCAGTTTGTGCATTAGTGTTAGGTCTTGGACCCACTGCCAGTGGCCTCATATATTGTCCCAGTCACACCATTGTCACCTATATTAAGGGAGTCTAGTTTGGTCTTATGCAGATTTCCCATTTGTTTTTTAATGTATCTTAAATGACATAAAATAAAAACTTAAATATTGTAATATGACAATAACCTAATAATTGTCGGGCGTTGGTGGCACACGCCTTAAGTTACAGCACTTGGGAGGCAGAGGCAGGTGGATCTCTGTGAGTTCAAGGCCAGCCTGGTCTAAAGAGCTAGTTCCAGAACAGGTTCCAAAGCAATACAGAGAAACCCTGCCTTGAAAAACCAAAATAAATAAGTAAATAAATAAATAATAAGAAACATAATTGAACATTAAAATGACGACCATGATGTTGCTGCTTGTCAAAAACAAAAACAAAAACAGATGCCTTTTTCTTTTAAGATTTATCATGTATAGTGCTCTGCCTGCATGTGTGCCTGCAAGCCAGAAGAGGGCACCAGATCTCATTATAGATGGTTGTGAGCTGGGAATTGAATTTAGGACCTCTGGAAGAGCAGAGAATGGTCTTAACTTCTTAACTGGCTAGTCATCTCTCCAGCTCCCAGAATGCCTTTTTTTTTTTTTTTTTAAGGAAGGAAGGGAGGGAGGGAGGGAAGAATAAAACAAAAAGAAAAAAATACTTCCTGTTAGGTTGTGTATCTGATGTAATCTATAGGGAAGTTTTTGAAGCTATGAAAGACCAGCATTCAAACGACAGCTATTGACAAGTCACATAGCTTCTTGTGCTCTCGAGATACAATGGACTATAAGAATATAAAAGTGAGGTGAAGCTTGGGGCCTGGGAAGCGTTCCTTAGAGTAGTAACTAACACCTGGGGTTAGTTCTAAAGGCTAATAGGGATTCATTAGGCAAAAATAAAATAAATAAAGGTAGAAGACTGATGTGGAAGGATGACAGAGATAAAAGCTAGGAAAGTGGAGGAAACACTTGCTTAGGTGTTTGAAAAATCAGAGTGATAATAAAATATTTCAAAGGGGAATTCTATGAACTAAGATAACATTATGTGAAATGATGTGACACTATCTGGTATGTGGTAAATGTTAAATATCTTGTTTAGCCCAAGGTTTAGTGATCAGGAAACAGAGATTCATTCCTTAACAATAAGTTTGTCATAAAGGATTAAACTTCATTATTGTTTTAGAAGATCTCAGGATTAAATACTCACCTGTAGTGGCTGCCTACATGTCTTTTTGTGAGCCTTGGCCTTTAATGTTTGAACCATCTCTCCAGCCCTAGGCTGCCTTCTTAATGCAGCTAACCCCAGATTTGAGGTCTGGGATTCAGATGCATCATTCAAATGTACCCACAGACCTAACACCCAAATTTGTCTTTCCCAGTGAAATTAACTGCTTTGATTGTAAGAGATTCAAGCATAAACTGTAGGCCAGTTATTCAGAATGGGATTTCTACCCTACAAAATAATCAGATATTCTATTTTCTTCCCATTCTAAAACTAAATAAATAATACACACCTATTAGACTGGCCATAATCCAGAATGGGACACCACCAAGTGCTGGAAAGGATGTAAAATGATAGGAACCCTCATTCATTAATTGTGGGGATGTGAAATGGTAGGATACTTAGAAGACAGTCTGGCAATTTAGAGAAAGTAAGAGAGAGTGAGAGAGAGAGAGAGAGAGAACCCACAGCATTTTTATTGCCATACAAAATAGGAATTGCACTTTTTGACTTTTAACTAAAGAAATGAAGATTTATGCTCCCCAAACCTGCTTGTGGATGTTTATGAAAGATATGTTGTTGGTTTTTTTTTGTTTGTTTGTTTTGGTTTGTTTTTTTTTTTGTTTGTTTGTTTGTTTGTTTGTTTTTTTTTTTTTGAGGTAGGTTCGCATGTAGCCTGGGTTGGTCTCTAATATACTAAAAGCAACCAACCATTACCTTTTTTCTTTCATCCCAATGCCTCCATCTCCCAAATAGAATTGTGTGTCTACCACCATATCTGGTTTATGTTGGAAGCCCAGGGTTTCATGAATACAAGGCCAGCACTCTACCAACTGAGTTATATCCCCAGCCCCATTCATGGAAGCTTTAGTCAAGGAATGAGCAAGTCAACTTCAACACACACAGACGATGAAATATAATTCAGCACTAAAATGACAAGCTAATTATCTGTGAAAAGAAAGATGGAATTTAAATAACTGAACTTTGCTACATAATTGATGAGGTAAATTCAGCAATTATAACAAATGTTCCACTCTGACTGGGCTCTCCCACATCAATCATTAATCAAGAAAATAACCACAGACCTGCCTACAAGTCAGTCTGACAAGGGCAATCCCTCTCGAAGTTCCCTTTTTCCCTGAAGTTTCTTTTTTCCCCAACCACTCTAGTTTCTGTCAAGTTGACAAAAACTAATCATAACTGTAGGGTAAAAGTGCCAGCCAAAGAAACCCACCTTGGCCATGACACCAGAGCCAACTCTGTCCCTGACCAATGGAAACACAAAACACCAATCCCTGGGCACCCTGACTCTGAACCCAGAGCTAGTGAAAGAAACACACCCAGTATCTGAAACCTGGGCCCCGGGAAAGAAACGCTTTATCCCTAAACCCAGAACCAAAGAAAAACACCTTGACCCTGAAACCAGTGCCAAGGAAACACACTTTGCCCCTAGAATCAGAGCCAGTGAAAGAAATATGCCCTGGCCCTAAAATTAGAGCCAAAAGGCTAAAATAGACCAGTAAAAGAAACACAGTTTGGCCCTGAAATCAGAGCCATCTCTGCCCCTGATCCACTAACCAATCCTGGGCAGGAAAACTAACCAATCCCTGAGCAGAGAAACCACCCCTAAGTAGCTCTGTATAAGCCCCTCTGCCTGTTCAGTTGCTGGTTGTTCTTTCCCATCCTGCCAGAGGCAGCCACTCTCCTGGACTCCCCAAATAAATCTCTTTTTCCAAAGAGTCTCCAGCTTGGGTGAAGATCTTCATTTGCCAACACAGAAGAGCTTGCTGAAACATCCCTAGGAGACTAGGCAGAAAACCTTGCTGAGGCGTTCCCTTAGGGGGGCTGAGCAAGGCTGAGCAGAACTGATGTATCATCAATCCTAATTTCAAGCTCTATTACAGGGCAACAGTAATTAAAAAAAAAAAAAAAAAACAGTATGGTATTGATACAAAAACAG